TTTCATACCCTTCATCAGAGAATCGTATCACAAATTTACATCAGTAATGATTATTTATAAGAAAATGAACCAGGAATATTTTTCTCAAGAAAGACGTTTATGTTCGTCTTGTTGGACATTCGTTTTCGTTGCTCAAATGCTTGTTCCGCTCGGCGCATCTTTTTGACTTTCCCTAAAGTCATTGTTTTCATTCTAGATACTGAAATGCATTTTCCAACTTGAATTGGCTCAACTTATCGGTACTGGTGTGAAAACGCGATACCTTCACACGGCGTCCAGCGGTAATACTAATTCACCCACAGCATTCATCGCAAACAACAAGACATCTTATGATATAACCTCAGGTTGCTTCTAACATTGTTGTGACGCTCATAGAAAAATGTCAAATACTAACGTTGGGTGCTTTTCTTTACTTGTATTTCTATGAAGGTTGGATGCCTGTTGCCGCTGACTCGAAAAAAGCGGCTGGCTCACAGTAAGCCATTGGGGAGACCGCTGCACAAAGTAATGTCGTTGCAGTTGACAGGTAACGTTTACTTTAATGATAGCTATGTGGATTGTGTTTTGTGACCTATCTCCCACCCCAGGGGCGAAGCTAGAACGTTAATGTAGTTGGAGGGGTGAATATTCATATATATGGTCATATATTCCGCTGTGACCAACTAATTTCTTTTCAAATTAAAATAGCTTTTAAACCAAATCATTCAATGAAAAATAAATACATGAATATTCACCCCTTCCATTCAGCGTCCTGGCTTCACCTCTGCCCCCCCCGTCCCAGGAATCTTTAAGTTGTCTTTAAGCTAGAGTGGGGCTTGTAACAGCAAGAAATGTCGATGGATGATTCGCTATGTAGACATGTTCATTGTCCATGTTAGCAGAGTCCTGAGAAGGACTGTTATTGTTGTTGTTGACTAACGTTTTGACATCCTTAGCGGTAGTCATCTTCAGGCTCAAGTGAACCAGAGAACCTTGAACATAAACATAAAAATAAAATTTTGAAGAACTCGTGCACTGTCCATACGTTATGTTCTCTCAGCAGAATATCTTCATCTCAACTTCTTCATTGTGTTTTATTACGTTTAGAGTTTTCACGGGATCAGTGAAACTGGATGGTGATGCTATCGGTAGGTTTGCATGTATACATTAAACTGCATCTTACATAAGATTTTTATATATCAAACTTGACCATAATTCACTGACCATTCTTTATCCCAAGTACCCAAATCTCCAATACCCGAAATCCCAAGTGCCCAAATTTCTAGTACCCAAATTCCCTGCTCCTAAATACCAAATCCCAAGTATCCAAATCCCAAGTATCCCAAATCCCCAGTATGCAAATCCCCAGTTCTCAAATCCCAAGTATCGTTATCTCCTGTATCCAAATCTCAAAATGTTTTCGTTTTTCTCCTAAGTCGATTTCGTGGAAGGTTTACGTCAAGTCTCGGAAGTTGAGCTTTCCAATCCTACAATGATACGTATGTTTAGTCTGCAGAAGATCGTAAAGATTGCTTATTACAGTATGGGTCGTATTCGGCTGCAATTTTCACGAATATGGGCTGTGTTGGGAGGTCATTTTAACAAGGTTAGCGATTATTGACGACTAAGATTGTATCTTGATATTATGGTTAATAACATCACGTTGTTATTATGTACTCAGGTATAGTAACAAGATAATCATTGTCTTCAATGTTCTATGAACTAAACTATCAGATCAATTGTGAACTATGATGATATTTTGAAACACAGTTCTAGTCTCTTTCATATCTCAAGTATAAAAACCAGATAATCAACTCCTTCATCTTCAATGTTCTACCAACTATGGTACTTCTCCATCTTAGATAATTTATGTGCCATTTTAGTGTGGTTGTAATCCTAATGAAGAAGTTGCGTTCTTCTGTGTCGAACCTTTGCGAAAGTTATCCATGAAATTCTTGGAAAAGAGGGAATTGCCAAATTTCTGATTTCAAAGGATTTTCTCCGACCCTTTGAATGCATAGTGAAGAAAAACAGGTAAGTTTATGCAGGAGTCAATTCTCTCAGAAAATGTAAAGTTTCATGCAGCTTGAAAATCTTTCTCTCAATAAAACAAAATGTGTGGAAGACTTTGCAGATTCTTTTCGAAGTTAAAATTTAACGAAGAATGTTACAAACGACGTCTTTCAATCAATCGCTCTGTTTTGTCTGTTATAATTCGAAGGATTTGATTAAAGTTCTTTCTGTTTATGAACTTGGCAACAAGGACTGCAATTTTCAGTCTACGATTTGCTTGAATCAACAACTGGACTTTTCACATTTTAGTTCTTCCACAATTCGTGATATGGTCGTACGATGTGTCACACAAATGGTGCATTCGCAAGCCGCGAACATCAAATCTGGTTGGAAAAATGTTTTCTCCGTTTTTCATTTGGCTGCGTCCGATCATGATGAAGGAATCGTGGAACTGGCTTTTCAAACAACAGGTTTGTAGTTTAAGGAAGGAGCTTTTTCTTCTAATCTTACCGCCGACCTGTCTGTTGTGCTCTTGGGTAAGGTTCTTGTATCGAAGCAAATTTTAAAATAAAAATGGTTGAATATGTTTGAAGAAATGATGGTGAATCCGTTTCCAATCTTGGACTATTTAGACATCTGTAAAATATTATTAAATTAAATTCAAATTGAATTTGAATATCGTTTAAGTAAATGTGTTTCTCGGATGTGACAGAGAGCTTCGTTTATTTTTCAACAAGAATTTTATGTGTTCGTTCTTTTCCATGGTAATTCAGCCATATTTATATAAGTTTTCGAGGTAAACTTTTATTTACCATAAAGTCGATGGATTTTCGCCTCATGATGCATGAATGAAAATTAAACGAGAGTTAATGGAGAAATGAAATAAATGTATGAAACATTTTTTAGTTGATGCAAATTACTAGTTAAAAGGCAGAATTTTTTAAACTTTTCTAGCCCTGTTTTTCTACTGTTTCAACAGCACTTGTAAATCAAAGCTTTGACAGATTCATTTATCCCACAAGATTATCAGTGTATAAATATCACATTCCCCATTTTCTCTTTTAGCCACGATTTTTGAGAAATATTTCTCCGCGACCATCGACTCTTTCCAAGATGCCGTCAAGTGTCTCTCGGAATTCGCATGCAACGCAAGTTTCCCGGACAAGAGTATGGAAGCAATAAGACTGATACGAAAATGCGCCAAATTTGTTTCCGAAAATCCTGTGGTACGACGATTGCAAATCTACTTTCTTTTAACCTTTGAAATGATTTAAAATTTTGCAAAATCGCATCAAAGCTAACCACTTTGGATCAAATCAAATACAAATCATCTATTTCAATCGCTTTTTCGTGTAGCATTTTCCAATGGTGTCTGTTTTCTTTTCTTTTATAAACAGATGTTTAAAGACTACGGAGTAGAGAATGCTGGGATATCAGAGCAGGACAGAATCTGGGTGAAAGGCTGGTTTCCAGTCCTCTTTGAGCTTTCGTGTATCATCAACCGATGTAAACTAGAAGTCAGAACAAGGTATGGTGGAAATATTGAGTTGTATGTACTGTATAGATTAGTATGTATTGTATAATTTGAATGTGAGCTATTTTCCATCCATCAACTAGAGGCCTAACCGTGATGTTTGAAATTATGAAAACATACGGGAACACGTTTCTCCAACATTGGTGGCGTGATGTGTTTAAAGTCGTGTTTCGAATTTTCGACAACATGAAACTACCAGACAGACAGATAGATTGGCAGGAGGTTAGAAAACTGTAATTATTGTGCTCTTATTATATAGCAAGCGTCACTTCCGGCTAAATGGCGCGTTTGATGGCTCAGAAACATTTTGCCGGTCCATTATTCTCCCGTAATCGACCACGGTTCAAAACGCGTAGTTTATAATATGTCGTTATTTTGGTCTTATTGTCTATGATTGCCATAAACACACATTATATCGCAAAAAGTCAACTTACATACACGACTATCCAGTTCCACATGGAATAATATTTATTTCATGTGTTCACGTCTATCCACATTCATTCCTCATTCACTCATTCATTTCAATTGTGTATCCACTTCATTGAACTAAAATACATGGAACGCTACCTGTAATAGAAAACCGTAGTAATTTTTTGAAGCCAAATTTTACACCCAGACACGCGGGTGTAGTTCAATCAATTTTCACTCCGCGAGAGAATCTCGAAACACTACACACGCGTGTCTGGGTGTAAGTTATGGCTTCAATTATTCGCTTCATGTAGCGTTCCATGTATTTTAGTTCAATGATCCCCTCATATCCTCCTCTATTTCTTATTCACTTCTATCCACTTTCATTCTAGAGTCACTTCATTCTGTATATCTACTCGTATTCACTTCCTTCTCTATCCATTCTTATCCTCTTGCATTCCCTATTCACACACCGATTTCATTTTGTGTAAACGATTTGTACCAGTATGGAAGGTTTGAAACACTCGTTTGTGAAAGTTACCCACCTGTAAAGAATGCTTTTGCCTTTAAATCAGGAGGGAATAATGTTAAACAGCGGGAAGGTCGTTTCCTTTACATAGAACAAAGTCCGTGTATAAGGTGTTGTATTTCCTCGTTATAAAATGAGACATCAGCTGAGGATGTTTTGAAATTTGTGATGTTTCTTTATAGAAATCAGAATAGATGACAACAACTTGTAATCACGCTCTATATGCTATCATCGATGTTTTTACTCAGTATTTTGATATTCTTGCTGAAATTCTTCTTGATGATATGTATGGCCAACCAGAGTGGTGTGTCAAACAAGGTAAGCTTGAGATTACGCAACGCGTTTGTGCTTAACCTATGCCTTGGTGATTGGTTCGTTGTGTCAGAATTTGTGATTGGTTTAAAGTATGAGAGTGTGTGATTGGTTTGAAGTATGAGAGTGTGTGATTGGTTTGAAGTATGAGAGTTTGTGATTGGTTTGAAGTGTGAGAGTTTGTGATTGTTTTGAAGTGTGAGAGTTTGTGATTGTTTTGGTTTGAGGTATATTAGTATACAAGAAGTATCAGAGTTTCTTACAGGTTCGACTGTAAATGCTTTGTAACACCATGTCCTGCTTTGCTCGTTCATTCAATACATGTCTTTAGATAACGAGCAGTTAGTGAGGTCAGTTACCAATTGTTTGGAAAATCTCGTCATATCCAATGGCAACACGTTCTCCGAAGACGTCTGGGAAAAGACATTTCAATGTGTAAAAACTATATTTGAATCAACCGTACCTCACGAACTATTGAAATGGAGACCCGCTGACCAACAAGTAATGAGTCTACCCACACCTGATGTCACTCCTGCGTCATCACCACTCAAGGTAAGTTACACTTTAGGCCTGATTATGTGGAGGGGAGTTAGCCCGGACAGCGAGCTAGCCAGATGGTTTCAAGGGATTGAAAATAGCCAAAACTTCAAGGTTAAAAATTACAACTCTTTGCGAAGCGCCACACGTCATTCCGGTTGTAATTCTCGAATTATGGCAAATTGGTTGTTTTAATTTTAAATGTTTTGCGTAGTTATTAAATCAGAATATTGTGAAATTGCTTGAGAAGATTTATCTGATGATAAGTATTAAATCGTTTCCATTTGACAAAATCATTTAACGCTTGGTTGAATCCCGGCTACCCGGATCATGTAATCCGCCCCTTAGTATTTTTTATGAAGTTCTAAAGCCCGACACTCTAAAATTGTAGACAAGCTTTCATAACTATTCTGTTTGTTTTATGTATTTATTACACTTAAAATTGACGTATATTCTAGATAATGTCACCTGTCGACCTGGAGGATGATATCGTGCCCAAATATCAGGAAGGTAAATAAGAAGTTTGTGAATTCCTTTAAAGGAAATTTTTGCTTCAATTGTCTCCATAATTATAAGATTGGAAATATTTCATGGTAAGCTAAAGCTCGCATATTAAAAAAGCTCATTTGAACCAAAAGCTCTTATGAAGCAAAAGTTCGCATTTTGCAATATAGCTCGTGTGAATCTTTAACTCGTTTGGACCAACAGCTTGCATTCTTTTGAGTAAATAGTGAAAAATTTTCCGTATTATTTTTTAGACGAGGACGAACAAGATGGTCAGCAATCATCAAAAGGTTTGAAGGAAACGGAGAAGGAAATGCCTCAAGAAACAGTTGAAGAAACCAAAGAACAAGACAGCATTAGTTTACATAGTACGCCTAGTTTACGATTTGTACCTGTCAAAGAACACGAACCAGGTAACTATGTGTTAGAAATCAATTGAGATTAATAATTTGTTTTGTCACAGCCTTCTGCCATTTACGTGTTTAATTTACTTTGGTTTATTGGAAAGGCGTAGCAAAACGTATAAACAGCGACGTCATGTAACATTTCCTGAAACTGCTTGTGTTCTAAAAATTTACATTTTTTGCAATTTTTGAAACAATAATGTTGTTAATTGTTACTAATAGAACTAATAATGTTACTAATTAGTAATTATTACTACTTCTCCTGTTAACAATTATTTCTCATGTAAAATAGCACTAACTTAAGAAACTCATTTTTGTTTTATTTTTTGGCATTTGTTGCTTATTTTATTTTATTTTATTTTAGAAGACCTCATATAAGATAAATTAGCCCTTTGTCCGGCATATTCAAATGTTCGATTTTTACCGACAAATGAAAAAATCGTCTAACCGTGAATACGGAAATGTTCAACCAACACCCGAGTGACATTTTTAAATTTTTTCATGTATGTACTTTAGCGTCGTAAAATCATCTCATTATTTTAGTTGTGCAGACGGAGAGGATGCTGTTCAATTCATTGATCATTAAGTGTGTCGTTCAATTGGAACTTATCCAAATGATCGACAATGTCTTCTTTTTCCCAAGCACCAGCAAGCGAGAAGATGAAGATACTATGGCTTAATTACAGGTCAGTTGTAATTACGGTCATTGTAGGTAATACTGATATAAATTGCTTTGTTGTAATGTTATACCAGAGTTCCCCTTGGTGGCATAACAAAGTTCTTAGCTGAGGCACAGAATATGTAATATACAGAAAAGACATTTGGCATCTTTAGTTGTTAGGAATAAATTTAATCAATGAAAAAGTTTGTCAAACAAAATGTGCCAGGATTATTACCATTGCACTTGACTGTATACAAATAAGTTGTTTTTGTTTGATGTGTCAGGACACTTGGAGTCTTTAGTTGTAAGAAATAGATTTAATCTCGGAAACATTGTCATTGCGTTGTCTCTAAGCCATAACAATTGGATAGCACAAAATAAAGTTGCTACAGAACAGTTTTTGTTAGTTTCCTCCTAAATTCCTCCCAGAATAAGCTAGAGGATCCTGCTTCAAAAAATTTGTCATTATTGCTATCCTTATCTATCTACAGTAATTAGTCATATCCAATCCTCCAAGTTCCCATGTGTCTTTTAACCAAAAACATTTATCCCTCCATATGTCTATGTAGGTCATGTATTCATCTTATATAAAGTTCTATATTTCATATTCTTTGTTCTTAGAAACTCATTGCTTATGGTCATATTGTTGGTGATACACCTGACTCCATTGAACCAGAGAGGCGTTTAATTGACAGAATTATCGAGACTAGTTGTAGTTGCTTTACTGGTATAAATACTGATGTAGACGTTCAAATACAAATTTTAAAATGTTTATAAAAGTAATCTCAAACTGTTATAATATTTAATGAGGGAAATGATATATCCTTGAGGAATTTATAGAGGGTAATGAAATATGTATCCCTATTTTTTTTACATTTTTTGTCTAATTTTTTACTATTTTTTATATTACGTCACCTACACCAGATATAACATAAAGTTCACAAAAAATATTCTCGTACTATATTGAACTTGCAGAAACGATGTCTCATTCAAGGGAAAGAGCTATTTGTTATATAAATATAAGAAAAAATATGCTCGGAAGACAATTTGATCTTTTATAAAAACAGGACACTAATTTAATTTTCAAAGCCTTTATCAAACTATTCTACAAAAATCATCACAGAAAAGAGTCTCCAACCATGTATCAAAACCGTATGCGGTACATACCCATATTTTTCAAGGAGTTTAATGAAGTTAATCATTGAATCTAAAAGTTTTGTCAAATTTTCGTAGATTCTTTACAATACGACAATAAGAAATTGAAGGTCTGTTATGCCGATCGGTGCTTAGTACCTATTACATCAACACATCTCATGATCTTTGACCCTGGAATTTCGGAAAAACAGTTTGGCGATTTCCATTTGGACAATTTTTGGTTTTTATTCTCTTCAAAATTTTTTTAAAATTTATACTGTAGCCTGTTGCACGAAGCGTGGATAGCGTTATCCATTGGATAGTAGTTTTTTAAAATTGTGACTGTGCATTGTAATGGGAGAGGTGAAATAGCATACTTGTCTGGGGAATAAATGGGAATCTGTGAACATTTATGTAGGGAGGGGCACGTGTCCAATCATGCATCACCTCCCTTCTTCCTGACGCCACTTTTGACTAATCTCTGTGTGTCTAGCAAAATGTTGATAGTTGTATACAACAAACCATTTCTTTTAAAAGTAAGAAAATTTGAAAAATAAGCAAATGTTAAACACAGGAAGAATGTATTTACACAAAGAAAGACGCAACCGAATCTACTTTTGTAAATTGTTGATTCATGCAACACAGTGACCTTTTAAAATTATAATTTGATATTGTTTATCTAGCAGTCTTAAGGTTTACTTTTATTGCATCCTTTACTGTTGTATCTACAGTGTCTTTATTGATCATAAGTAATTATAATTGCGTGCAGTTGATGTTTGCTATGTGTTCATAATTTGCAATGGTTTATTTAATAACAAAGGTTTTTTATAATAAGAACTGATTTATTCAAGAATATACATGTATGGATTTATGATTAGTAAAAGGGAAAAATCCATTCACAGTTTCGAAAATTGTGTCTTAATCATTGACATTCAAATCCTGTCTTAGATAAGTGATTCTCTATTCCTGAGTTAAAACTTGTGAAATTTTATAAGATTTAGCAGTAGTCCTTCAGAATTTGACTAATCTCAATGTTATTATGTACTCTGCATGAGGTTCTTATTTATGTATATTTATTTCAATAACAATTATTTTTAGTCAGTGATGTATATTTAGTCATATAACTACAATGTTCTACATAGACTTCATTAATGTGTTTTAATACTGTTTGTTGAAAGAGATCCTGACTCACTCTTCATCTTCGTTCGTTATTCAAATGTGTGTATGTAACAAAACTCATAAGGATAAAAGGTTGATGTTACAATAAGGTATCAACTCTTATCATCATTTTTAATCTGATATGTATGTGGTCGCGTTTTTTTATTAAATCTTTCATCCGTTTGTTGAGTATGTGACAGATATTTTAGAACTACATTACCGACATAACAAATTAGCTAGAGGAGCATCTCGATAAAGTATGACTAGACATGCATGAGAAATCATATCTAAATTTATATACCAACTTTCCAATTATTGGCAATAAGCTGCATGGTAAAGGAAAGCAAAACGTGTTCAAAGGTATGGGAGAGGTGAAATAGCATACTTGTCTATGAAAAAATGGGAATCTGTGAAAATTTAGGTAGGGATGGGCACGTGTCCAATCATGCATCACCTCCCTTCTTCCTGACGCAACTTTTGACTAATTTCTGTGTGTCTAGCAAAATGTTAATATTTGTATACAACAAACCATTTCTTTTAAAAGTAAGAAAATTTGAAAAATAAGCAAATGTTAAACACAGGAAGAATGTATTTACACAGAGAAAGACGCAACCGAATCTATTTTTGTAAATTGTTGATTCATGCAGCACAGTGAGCTTTTAAAATTATAATTTGATTTTGTTTATCTAGCAGTCTTAAGGTTTACTTTTATTGCATCCTTTACTGTTGTATCTACAGTGTCTTTATTGATCATAAATAATTATAATTGTGTGCAGCTGATGTTTGCCATGTGTTCATAATTTGCAATGGTTTATTTAATAACAAAGGTTTTTTATAATAAGAACTGATTTATTCAAGAATATACATGTATGGATTTTTGATTAGTAAAAGGGAAAAATCCATTCACAGTGTCGAAAATTGTGTCTTAATCATTGGCATTCAAATCCTGTCTTCGATAAGTGATTCTCTATTCCTGAGTTATAATTTGTGAAACTTTATAAGATTTAGCAGCAGTCATTCCAAATTTGACTAATCTCAATGTTGTTATGTACTCTGCATGAGGTTCTTATTTATGTATATTTATTTCAATAACAATTGTTTTTAGTCAGTGATGTATAATTAGTCATACAACTGGAATGTTCTACATAGACGTCATTAATGTGTTTTAATACTGTTTGTTGAAAGAGATCCTGACTCACTCTTCATCTTCGTTCGTTATTCAAATGTGATTATGTAACAAAACTCATAAGGATAAAAGATTGATGTTACAGTAAGGTATCAACTCTCATCACCATTTTTAATCTGATATGTATGTGGTCGCGTTATTTATATTAAATCTTTCATCCGTTTGTTGAGTATGTGACATGTAAAGAACTAAAGCAAGCATAATTTCGTTTACACGGTCGTCTTACTTCTAAAACGGAAGTAATTTTAGAAAAATTAAGCGATATTTTAGAACTACATTACCGACATAACAAATTAGCTAGAGGAGCATCTCGATAAAGTGTGACTAGACATGCATGAGAAATCATATCTAAATTTATATACCAACTTTCTAATTATTGGCAATAAGCTGCATGGTAAAGGAAAGCAAAACGTGTTCAAAGGTATGGGAGAGGTGAAATAGCATACTTGTCTATGAAAAAATGGGAATCTGTGAAAATTTAGGTAGGGATGGGCACGTGTCCAATCATGCATCACCTCCCTTCTTCCTGACGCAACTTTTGACTAATTTCTGTGTGTCTAGCAAAATGTTAATAGTTGTATACAACAAACCATTTCTTTTAAAAGTAAGAAAATTTGAAAAATAAGCAAATGTTAAACACAGGAAGAATGTATTTACACAGAGAAAGACGCAACCGAATCTATTTTTGTAAATTGTTGATTCATGCAGCACAGTGAGCTTTTAAAATTATAATTTGATTTTGTTTATCTAGCAGTCTTAAGGTTTACTTTTATTGCATCCTTTACTGTTGTATCTACAGTGTCTTTATTGATCATAAGTAATTATAATTGCGTGCAGTTGATGTTTACCCTGTTTTCATAATTTGCAATGGTTTATTTAATAACAAAGGTTTTTTATAATAAGAACTGATTTATTCAAGAATATACATGTATGGATTTTTGATTAGTAAAAAGGGAAAAATCCATTCACAGTGTCGAAAATTGTGTCTTAATCATTGGCATTCAAATCCTGTCTTCGATAAGTGATTCTCTATTCCTGAGTTATAATTTGTGAAACTTTATAAGATTTAGCAGCAGTCATTCCAAATTTGACTAATCTCAATGTTGTTATGTACTCTGCATGAGGTTCTTATTTATGTATATTTATTTCAATAACAATTGTTTTTAGTCAGTGATGTATAATTATACAACTGGAATGTTCTACATAGACGTCATTAATGTGTTTTAATACTGTTTGTTGAAAGAGATCCTGACTCACTCTTCATCTTCGTTCGTTATTCAAATGTGTTTATGTAACAAAACTCATAAGGATAAAAGATTGATGTTACAATAAGGTATCAACTCTCATCACCATTTTTAATCTGATATGTATGTGGTCGCGTTGTTTATATTAAATCTTTCATCCGTTTGTTGAGTATGTGAAATGTAAAGAACTAAAGCAAGCATAATTTTGTCTTCACTGTCGTCTTACTTTTAAAACGGAAGTAATTTTAGAAAAATTAAACGATATATTAGAATTACATTACCGACATAACAAATTAGCTAAAGCAGCATCTCGATAAAGTATGACTAAA